CCCGGACTCTCGCAAGTTTTCTCCGTGTCGGGACTCTGCGAGACAGCCGCCCTGAGGCTGCCAGAGACGGGCCCCGGCGGCTCGGTGCCTCCCTCCTGCGGCGTCTCCTCCTCGTTCTCACTTACACTTCCATCGGCGCCTGCAATGCAGAGAGAGAACCTGGTCCTGAGCTAAACACAGAGAACTCATGGGCCGTGCTGGGCTGGCCCTCGGAGGCAAGGCTGTGTCCGGCTCTGCCGCCACCTCGGGCAGGTCACACCCCCTCTCTGTGTTTCTGTTTCCCCTCCCACCTTTGTCTAGGTAGGCCCAGCTCCTCAAATCTATTTAGGTGCCTAACTCCCATTGGGTACCATTTAACTGCCACTGGGAGTTAGGTATCTGCATAGCCCTGAGGATCTGGGCATGGTTTATAAACTTGCCAGAGAAGGAGGATGGCCCAATGGTTAGTGCATTTGACTAGCACCCTGAAAACCTCAGTACAATTGCCTGCTCCGCTACCCATGTGACTATGGGAAAGCTGACAGGCTCCCTGTTCAGATGTGTTCCTTCAAAGTGCTTTACAAACTAGGCCTGTACTATTATCCCCATTTTACAGCTGGAGAAACTGAGACTCAGTAAATCACCCTGAGTCACCAGCAGATCAGTAGCAGAGCCAGGAACAGAAGCCAGGTCTTCTCAATCCCAGACCATGGCTCTATCCACTAGGCCACACGAGATCTTAAAACATAAGCCCCTGGAGTCTGTTCTCCAGAATCAGGCCCATTAGCTCAGAGACAGCAATATACATTGGGGCCTGAAGGGGGGGGGCGGACGGGGACAAAGCCACCCTCTTGGGATTCCAGCTCTTTCGCTGCCTCGTCCAAGCCGCTTCAGCGTCTCTCTCACCTGCACAGGCACCTCCTGGGAACTCGGCTTCCCTCATGTCCTGGGAATCCCGGCCGCATGGCTCTTCCTCCTGTTCCATCCAGGATATGGCGTGAGGCTCAGGAACCGCAAAATCCTGAGCCAAAAGATAAAACATGAGGCAAATATGCTGGTGACATCGGGGTTTGATTGCTAGTCGCCCTCCCCCCCCAGGACGGGGAACCCAGCAGATGGGACAGGGTACAGGGAACTTCTCTGGGATCCTAGGATATTTGAAGGACAGAGGGTGGAGTGCTCAGGGGAAGGTCCTCCATGAACAAGGGGCCTTGGCTAGCTTGAAACCAGCCCTGAATTAAGCCTCTTGCACTGATAAATTGAAAGATCTATTCTAGAAAACCAGCCAAATCCATTCATCGTGGTCTCGGGCTACAGAATCGCACTGGGACTTGCTGGGTGACTTTGGGCCAGCAACTGCTGGGCCCCGTTCCTCAGTTTCCCTTTCCAACATTGTCCTTAGCATGTGAGCACTGCAGGGGAGGGACTCTCTCTTGCTCTGTGCCTGCATCTGGCATCCTGGAGCCCCGAGGTGACAGTGTCATAAAATAATCAGAATATGATGGCCATGAGCTAAGCATCACCAGCGAAAATCCTGAGCTCCCCTCTAGCACCCCCAGATCTGTCCCTCTGCTTCCCTACAGCACACCCCCTCCCGACCCAGGATCCCCACCCCCAGGAGCAGCCCCCAAAATCACCGATCCCATATCCAGGGATCCCTCCCTCTGCTCCCCTGCAGCCCACCCCCCATGATTCAGAGATCCCTGCTCCTACCCCCCACAATCCACGGCTGCTCTCCAGCTCATCTTCCCAATCGTGAAAAAGGGGCGCCCCTGGGAGCTCCCCCGGCACCGGGCG